CCCTCACCCACAGCAGCGGCATGCAATGGGGAGACGAATAGAGACTCACAAGTGCTCGGCTGAGGGCCCTGCAATCCCCATGGCATCTTCTTACCATCCCGCCTCCCTTGTCCAGCACTAGTAGCCGTGTCAGCAGTAGCTGCAGCAACAGCAATGTCAGCTAATGGGGAGACGAATAAAGACTCATGCGGATGTGGGCCCTGTAATTTTTATGGCATCTTCTTCCCTGCCCCCCTCTCCTACCCCGCAGCAGCAGCCGCAGCCGCAGCCGCAGCAGCAGCATGCAATAGGGAGGGAGAAGACTAGAGACTCACATGTGGCTGCCTGTCGGTGCTGCACTCCCCATGGCAGCAGCAGCGGCGGCGGCTGTGATGGCAGCAGCATGTGCTCTCGCTGCTGCCATTGCCATGTGCGCCCCTCGCCCTATGCCCATGCTCGCACCAGCACCAGCAGCAGCAGCAGCACCGGCAACGCCACCAGAAGCACCGCCAGCAGCTGTGGCAGCGCCAGCAGAACTAGCAGCACTCGCAGCGGCTCCTGCTGTTGATGTTGCTACTCCGGCTGCTGCTGGTGGGGCGTCCGCAACAACCTGGTGGAAGGGGGTACAGGCCAATGCAAATAGGTGGGATGCGGTGACTGTGGGAGTATTTGAGTGAGAGGCCAATGGCAATCGTCCTCCCTTTCCCGCGTCCCTTGAATCTCCCATGTTTTCCTGCCTCTTTCCCCAACTGATCTCATTGAATCCGTACCTTATCCCACTTGCGCCTCATTCCGCCTCTTGTCAATCCATCCCCAATAGCAGTAGCACCAGCAGCACCAGTGCCTCCCCTCATAACACCAGGAGCCAAACCCATTATGCCCGCTCCCACAGCAGCAGCAGCAGCTGCACCTGCTGTCGCCATTGCCCCTCACTGTACCCATTGTTCCCCTTCCCCTGCTCTCAAACCCTCAACCTCAATCCCTTTCAACAAAAACATACCTTATCCCATTTGCTCCTCTTTCCGCCTCTTGTCAATCCATCCCCACCTTCAGCGGCACCGGTGCTTCCCCTCATAACGCCAGGCGCAGAACCCATTATGCCCGCTCCCACACCAGCAGCTGCTGCACCCCCTGCTGTCGCTGCCCCCATTGCTGCTGCCACTCCTGCTGTTGCCGCTCCTGCTGCTGCTGCGGCCCCTGCTGCCATTGGTTGCCCAGGTGCCATCACCCCTGCTACTCCTGCTACTGCAGCATCTCGAACGCGCTGAGTTCCTGTTTTGGAAGATGGGAAACACAGGGGAAAGACTTTCTTCAGGCACATCAAAACTCCTCCTGCTGCTGGTGGTTGCACAGGTACAGACGCCACCAATCCTGTCCCTCCTGCTAATGCTGCTCCTCCTGCTGCTGTAGTTGCAACATCTGGAACAGGTTGGGCTCCTGGTTTGGCAGATGGGAAACGCATGAGAAAGGCTTGCCCCAACACTCCTCCTAGTGCCACCATCCTGGTGTCACTCCTGCTGTTTCGGCCCCTGCTTTGCCACCCCGCAAAAAACTCTATCTACCCGCCCTTCTGCCTCTAATGTCATGTGGCACAGAGCGGTGCAGAGAGATGCAAAGCAGTGCACTGTACCGCTCTAGTCAAGCAGACAATACCTTTGGGCGGAGCAGCAATGAGCTGCACTGCTGCACCACAGTGGTGCCCTCTCATTTACTTATGTGGTAGAGAGCGGTGCAGAGTGGTGCACTACCTTTAGGAGGAGCAGCGATCACTTGCACCACAGTCTGTCAGAATTATGTTTATTATAACTGCATGTAGTTCTAGCTGTAGTGTAGTTATTAAATTTGTAGGTGGTGCACCTCTTCATTTGTTTCCTTTGCTATATGTACTTCGAAATCTATAGTGAAACCTCATTCTCCCAACTTCTCTTCCAACTCACTCGAACCTCACCCTAGGCAAGAACTACTCGACACCTAATCTCGGGCCTAGGCTCCTAAGCCTAGGCCCTAGTTTCAACTTAACTCAATCCTCGTTCAACTATTTTCGACATGGTATCAGAGCGACATTCGTCCTGGCCTGTGGGCCCGCCTCATGCTTCCGCTGCTACGCTTTTTCGGTCGCGCGCCTAGGGCGCGTGGCGAATTTTTATTGTCCCGCCCCCGGGCGTGTGACTCCTTATCTGCCCGTCGCGCGCCCCGTGGCACGCGACGGAGCCCTAAATCTGCCCGTCGTGCGCCCCGTGGCACGCGACGGTGCCCTGCTCGTCGTGCACCCCGTGGCACACGATCGGGCCCTACACTTACTCTTACCCGTCGTGCGCCCCGTGGCACGCGACGGGCCTTTCTGCACCCGCTCTCCATTCAGCCGCCCCTGAGCTACCCGGTCCAACACATTGAAGCCGTTCTGCGACTTTCTTCCCGCCCACCCCCTCCTCCATTTTCTCCCTGCAGCCGTGGGGGGGAGGGTATGGGGGTGGCGGGTGTTGGGGTGTTGGGTCGTTCACTTCCCTTCCCCTCCTCCTCCTTTCGTTCCCACTGCTGCAGCTGCCGCTGGGGGGGAGGGTGTGAGGCTGTGGGGGAGCAGGGGGAGAGGCACCGGGGTGGCGGGTGTGAGGCAACCAGCAGCCGTCCCTCCACCTCTCCTCTCTTCCCCCCCTCTCTGCTGCTCCTGCAGCGGTGTGGGGGAGGGGAAGGAGGAGGGTGAGGAGATGGAGGGGGTAACCATTCAAAGTTAGCCCGCCTGCAGTACCTGCTGTTGCTTGTTTTATTGTTTGTTGGTGTACCTCTGCAGCTTGTGCTCTGCACTTAGCTATTCCTGCATGCAGTTACGGGGGGATGTCAGAATTATGTTTATTATAACTGCATGTAGTTCTAGCTGTAGTGTAGTTATTAAATTTGTAGGTGGTGCACCTCTTCATTTGTTTCCTTTGCTATATGTACTTCGAAATCTATAGTGAAACCTCATTCTCCCAACTTCTCTTCCAACTCACTCGAACCTCACCCTAGGCAAGAACTACTCAACACCTAATCTCGGGCCTAGGCTCCTAAGCCTAGGCCCTAGTTTCAACTTAACTCAATCCTCGTTCAACTATTTTCGACACAGTCCCCCCTCGTTGGAACTCCATCTGCCTGCCCTTTTGCCTCCTCTCCTGCTCCTTCCACTCCATCTCCCTCCTTTGATCTGCCAGTGCCTACCCCAAGGGCCATCAGCCATGCCCAAGGGGGTGCAGAGAGATGCAAAGAGGTGCACCATTGCAAAAACGTTACCTTTAGGAGGAGCAGCTATGAGCTGAACCACAGTGCCCCCTCGCTGACACTCTATCTGCCCGCCCCTCTGCCACTACTCAACGGTCATTCCCCTATGAACAAGCAGTACCTTCATGCGGAGATGAGTTGTCTAGTGTGGCACAGAGTGGTGCAGAGTGGTGCAATACCTTTAGGAGGAGCGGCAATGAGTTGCACAACAGTGCCCCCTCGCTGAAACTCAATCTGCCCGCCCTTCTGCCTCCTCTCCTGCTCCTTCCGCTCCATCTCCCTCCTCTGCTCTGCCACTGCCACCAGGGCTCACACACATACAGGAAACGACTTTTGGAACGTCTTGAATATAATCGATCACTAAAACAGTTTCGAGGCGCCTCAAAACAAAACCCGACACCAGCGCAGGGGCGCACATGCAGCAAGCGATTTTGAAACGTCATCAATAGATCACCAAACCAGGCATACTTGTGTCCGCATGTTTGAGTGTGGTACCATGGTAAAGCTTTTGAGTCGACTCAAAAGCAGAGCATGGTAAAGCACGGGAAGCCAGGACCAGCAACCCAAGGGCGCCATAATGGTGCGTGGGGGGAACAACGAGACCATAAAGGGGGGGGGGGGGGGGGGGGGGATGCGGGGGAATGGAACCGGCATGAGGGAGGAATGGGGGGCAGCATGGTTTGAGATGTCTCAAAGCCAGGCCAGCAAACCAAGGGCGCCATAATGGCGCGTGAGGGGAACAACGGGACCATAGGGGAGGCATGGGGGCGGAATGGGGGGCAGCATGGGGATAAGCATGGGGTTAAGCATGGGGGGCAGCATGGGGGGCGGCATGGGGGGCAGCATGGGGGGCAGCATGGGGGGCGGCAGAGTAGCCAGTGTACCAAGAGCGTCCTAGTAGTCTAATCGGTTAAAGCCATGGGGAGTCTAGTCTTGAGGCGCCTAGAAAAATAGACCGAGTGAGGAGAACAGGCCAGCGTACCGAGAGCGTCATAGTAGTCTAATCGGTCAAAGCCGTGGGGATTAAAGACGTCCTTAGGAAAACAGGAGCCGTGCTCGTCTATACCCTCATGCTTCACGACCTGTCGTGGAAGAGGGTGGGAAATCAACAAAGTGTGAGGTTGGTATACCAACAAACAATGCGAGAGTGGAGAATGAGAGAGTGGAGAATGAGAGAGTGGAGAACCAGCAGTGCAGTGCATGAGAGGGAGGACGAGACTAATTGTGAGGCGCCTCTAAAACCGTGAGAGGTTGGTAAACCAACAAACAGCGAGAGAGTGGAGGAGAACCCACAGTGCATGAGAGGAAGGGCGAAGGAACTATCTGTTTGGGAGTGCAGTGCATGAGAGGGGGGAAGGACAGATAAGTCCCATGGCCCCATCATCCCACACTTGCTGCATAAGCCTCAATTTCTTCACCCCCCTGCTGCATCAAGTTAGGGTTGCGATAGCCCTAAAAGTCGCGTACATTCACACCTCTCTCCATTCCCCCCAAACAACCCCCCCTCCCCCCATCCCATTCACACCTGCTGCATGAAGTCAGGGTTGCGGTAGCCCTTGGAGTTCCTCAGAGCGTCGTTGATGCTCCTGCCAACCCTCCTCCACCCACCCCAACACGCCCAAACCCATCCCTTTCCCTTCACCACACCTGTTGCACGAAGTCAGGGTTGCGGTAGCCCTTGGAGTTCCGCAGAGCGTCGTTGATGCTCCTGCCGGCCCGCTTCAGCTCCAGATACCGGATAGACTTGGCCTGCAAGCACCAATCACAGCATGCCACGTGGCAGATACGTGATAAAATTGGCCTGCCACCACCAATCACAACACGCCACGTGGAAACATGGAGCGCTCTATAGGATGTGCAACGAGAACCTTATGCACAAAGCGGACTTTCACCCGTGCTCATGCTGAAAGGGCAAATTAGCAACACAGAAAAGACTTCTTAGTTTAGCCGAATCCCTCCTCGTTCCCTCTTCCCTCTCTCAAACATTCTCCCTCTTCCCCCCCTCCTCCCCATTCCCTTCCCCTCCATTCCTCCCCCCTCCCCCCAATTCCTCACACTCACACCTGAAGCTGCACTGAGCTCTTTTCTCGTGGCAAGGGCGGCAGAAACCCTCTCAACGCCTCCTCTACCTCCTCCTCCCTTCCTTGTCCTTCCCCACTCCCCTCGTTTCCCGCTTACAAACCTGAAGCTGCTCTGAGCACTTTTCTCGTGGTGGGGGCGGCAAAAACCCTCTCAGCGCCTCCTCTACCTCCTCCTCTTCCTCCCCCCCTCCTCACCCCCCCGCACCCCCCTCTCCACCCCTCTCAACACCCCCCCCTCCTCTCCCCTCCCCGGCCATCTCCCCTTCAGCCCCTACGTCTCCTTGCATAGTTCCATTCAAAGGTGGCGTGAGCTGTCCACGTGGCGCAATGCCATTAGCTGCTGCTAGGACCGCCACGTCACCGTCCACCGAGCCAGGTGGGGAAGGAGTGATCCGACCAACAATGGGTGTGGTTCGGCCAACGGGGGGAGAGAGGATATGCACCGAGCCTGGAGTGGCACGGTTGGGGGCTGGCATGGGAAAAAGAGGTGGGGGGAAGGGAGTACGGCCGGTGGGGGGTGCGGTGGTAGGTAGGTAGGGCAGGAAAGGGGAGAGAAAAAGGTGAAAGGGATATGGTTAGAGAAATTACCGGGTGGAAAGTAGATATTTCTCTGACGAGGAAAGGCGCAGATTGTAACAAGGAAGTCAGCCTAAATGGCACTGGAGGGAGGAGCACCGATAAAGGTCCTTCACAGAACAGCAAAGCAAAGCACAGCACAGAACAGAACAACACTGTACCGTACAACACCGAACAGCACCAAGTAAAGTGATGGAGTCTGAAGACCAGGAACGCAGGTCATGCCTAGAATGCACTCTACTCACACCCATAAAAGAACAATGTATGTAGGTATGTATGTCTGTATGTATGTATGTATGTATGTATGTATGTATGTATGTATGTATGTATGTATGTATGTATGTATGTATGTATGTATGTATGTATGTATGTATGTATGTATGTATGTATGTATGTTGTCAAACTCATATGCTATAGTCTGTGTAGGCTGTAGTGGGGTAGACAATATGGGGTACAACACTTTTAGGTTTTCCTACTTGTACCCACCTGCTTGCTAGTTCATTCATTCCTCATTTCTTCACATGGTATAGAGCAGGTTCCCTAGTGGGAACGCTTCTCAGGGCCCACCACTGATTTTTTTTTTTTTCCTGACCGGAGCGCGAGTCGCCCCTGCCCGAGGCGCGCCCCGTTGGCCGCCCTCACGTCCCCTCTCACAGCCCCCCCTCGCGCCACCCTTAGCGGCCCCGTCGCCACCCCTTACGGCCCCGTTCCCGTCCTTAGCGGCCCCGTCGCCACCCCTTACGGCCCCGTCGCCGTCCTTTGCGGCCCCGTCGCCGCCCCCTCTAGGCCCCTCGCGGCCCCTTTGCGGCCCCGTCGCCGCCCCTAGCGGCCCCGTCGCCGCCCTTCGAGGCCCCTCTCGGCCCCTTTGCGGCCATGTCGCCGCCCCTAGCGGCCTCGTCGCCGCCCCTATCGGCCCCGTCGCCGCCCCTATCGGCCCCGTCGCCGCCTCTAGCGGCACCGTCGCCGCTCCTACCGGCCCCATCGCCGCCCTTTGAGGCCCCTCGCGGCCCCTTCGCGACCTCGTCGCCGCCCCTAGCGGCCCCGTCGCAGCCCTTCGAGGCCCCTCTCGGCCCCTTTGCGGCCTCGTCGCCGCCCCTAACGGCCTCGTCGCCGCCCTTATCGGCCCCGTCGCTGCTCCTAGCGGCCCCGGTCGCCGCCCCTATTGGCCCCGTCGCCGCCCCTAGCGGCCCCGTCGCCGCCCTTCACGGCCCCCCCCTTCAGCTGCCAAGCAGCCGAACCACCAAGCCGCCGAGCCGCCCAGCCGCCCAGCCGCCCAGCAGCCGAGCCGCCCAGCACCCGAGCCGCCCAGCAGCCGAGCCGCCCAGCAGCCGAGCCGACCAGCAGCCGAGCCGCCCAACAGTCGAGCCGCCCAGCAGCCGAGCCGCCCAGCAGGCGAGCCGCCCAGCTGCCGAGCTGCTGAGCCGCCGTCAAGCCGCTACTGTTCCTACTGGCGCGCACCGGCCCTTCCCGCCCGGACTTGTGAGAGCACTCCCTGTTAGACCACTGCTGTCATGGCTACCCCCAGTGTCCTTACCTTTGATGCTGAGGGTCGTGCTGTTGACTTTGAGGTTTGGGTCGGTGACCTCCAGCTCTTCCTACAATGCGATAGGGCAGACGGACTCTCCCTGTTTGATCTCACCTCTGGTGCCTCTCCTGCCCCGCCTACTACTGCTGACAGCACTGTTCGCTCACAGTGGGCCACGCGCGATGCTGCTGCCCGTCTTGCTGTGCGTCGCCACTTACCGACCGCTGAGCGTGTGCACTTTAGTCAGTACAAGAGTGCTAAGACCTTGTACGGCGCTGTAGTTGCACGCTACTCTTCCCCTGCCACTACTGCTCTTATCCGCCTCATGCTGCCGTACCTGTTCCCTGACCTTGCTGCCTTTCCCACAGTCGCTGACCTCATTACGCACCTTCGCACTAGTGACACTCGCTACCGCGCTGCGCTTCCTCCTGAGTTCTATGCCAAGAACCCTCCCCCCATGTACATCACCCTCTACTACATAGTCACGCGGCTCCTTGACTCCCTTCGCTTAGTCAGGGACCACTTCCTCTCAGTTTGCCCCACCACACTCACCGTTGACCTCCTCAAGGAGCGCCTCCTAGCAGCAGAGAAGAGCATAGTCGCTGTAGGAGCCTCTCGTGGTGACCCTTGTACCCCCGTCTTTGAGGGGTGTTCCCCCTCCCCCCTCTTGCCCTCTGTTGCTTCTGCTGCTGCGGCCGACCTCGTTGGTTTCGAGTCGGTCGACGCTGCGTCTGCCCCTAGCGGGAGACGCCGCACAGACAAGGGCAAGGGGGGCAAGGGCGCTGGAGGGGCTGGCGGGGGCGGTGGAGGTGGCGGTGGAGGCCGTGGAGGGGGTGGGGGTGGAGGTGGGAGTGGTGGCGGGGGTGGAGGTGTCGGTGGCAGCAGTGGAGGCCGAGGAGGCGGCGCTGGTGGCGGTGGGAGCGGAGGCGGCGGAGGCGGCGGCGGTGGTGGAACTGTTCGCCGCTCTGCACAGAGGAGTGGCTCCGGTGGTGGTCAGCGCCAGCAGCAGCAGCGCACTCGTGAGACCCCGTCCCCCCAGCAGAATCGTGAGTGGTACGCTGCACGTCAGCGAGGAGGGGGTACTGGTCCCTGTACCTACGTCCTCCGTACCGGCGACCACACTGGTGAGCAGTGCGGGGGCTCGCACTCCACCCAGCGATGCTTCGGCCGCCTGACAGACGCTTGGCGTCACCAGTTCCCTGACGCCACTGAGATCCCTCGCTGGGGAGAGCTGTCTAGGGCGGGGGTCGCTATCTTTGATCTTGACTATGATGCTATACTTGCTGCCATGTATGTTGTGTCTACTAGTGATGAGGGTGACTGTTACCTGTGTGTTCCGCCTGACCCGGGCATTGAGGCTGCTGCTCTAGGTGCTGGTGAGGCTGCTGCTCTAGGTGCTAGTGCGTCTGCTGCCCCATGTGCTGGTGAGTCTGCTCTCTCAGGTACCTCGACAGCTCAGGCCTTACACACCTTCACCCTTGACTCGGGTGCTTCCCGCTCCTTCTTTCGAGACCACACCACGCTTACGCCGCTTAGTCGGCCGGTTGCGGTCTCCCTGACGGATCCCTCAAGGGGTCCTGTCCTTGCTCGCTTCTCCACTGTCTTACCGTGTCCGGCAACCCCCTCTGGCACCCTATCAGGTCTCTACCTCCCCTCGTTCTCTACGAACCTGGTGAGTGGTGCTGTCCTACAGGATGGAGGGGTTGACCAGTTCACTCTTGCGAGTCAGCTTTTTTTTTTTGTTTTTTTTTTTTTTTTGGGCTTTAACCTGCGAGTCTGCAGGTGACCCACTGCACGTGTGCCCGGACGGGCCGACACTTGGCCACGTTTACCCGTCGGCCGGGGTCGAGCCTGTACACACTGTCTACTGAGTCTGCTCCAGTTGCTGAGTCTGGTCAGGTAGCTGCGTCGAGTCAGGTGTTTGCTGCAGCGTCCAGGTCTGGTCCTGAGTCTGCTCCCTGCTCGTGTCGTCTCCTGTCCCACCAGACTCTCCTTTGGCACCACCGCCTTGGTCACCCCTCCCTGCCTCGTCTCCAAGGCATGGCCTCCTGTGTTCTTGTCTCTGGTCTCCCCCGGTCCCTCCCTACCCTCCCTCCGGGGCCTGCCCCTACCTGCGTTCCCTACTTCGAGGGGCAGCAGCGCGCCGCCCCTCACTCCTCCGAGTTTCCTCCGACAGAGGCTCCCCTGCAGACTCTTCACATGGACGTGTGGGGCCCCGCCCGTGTCCGTGGCTAGGGTCACGAGCGTTACTTCCTGTTGGTGGGTGACGACTACTCGCGTTACACCACGGTGTTCCCCTTGCGCAGCAAGGGTGATGTCACTGAGGTGTTGATCGACTGGATCCGCGCAGCTCGTCTCCAGCTTAGAGAGAGTTTCAACTCGGACTTTCCTGTTCTGCGTCTGCACTCTGATAGAGGCGGGGAGTTTTCCTCTGCCCGTCTGGGAGCCTTCTGTCGTGCACAGGGCGTCCGCCAGACCTTCACGCTTCCGGCCTCTCCACAGCAAAATGGGATTGCAGAGCGCCGCATTGGCATGGTCATGGACGTCGCTCGTACGTCCATGATCCATGCGGCTACTCCCCATTTTCTATGGCCGTTTGCGGTTCAATACGCTGCGCATCAGCTCAACCTTCAGCCCCGGGTCTCCTTGCCAGAGACCTCCCCCACCTTGCGGTGGACGGGGAAGGTTGGCGATGCATCTGCGTTTCGGGTCTGGGGATCTCGGGCGTTTGTCTGCGACTTGTCTACGGACAAGCCGTCCCCCCGTGCTGTTCCCTGCGTCTTCCTTGGCTTCCCCCCTGACGCGCCTGGTTGGCAGTTTTACCACCCCACCTCGCGCCGTGTTCTGTCCTCCGAGGACGTCACCTTTGACGAGTCGGTGCCTTACTACCGTCTCTTCCCCTACCGCACTGCGCCCCTCCCCCCGCCGCCGCTCTTCCTTGCGCCAGGTCCTCCCCCAGTAGACCCTCTCCCCCCTCAGGGTCCTGCCCCGTCAGGTGTGTCCCAGGTAGACGCAGTCGAGCCTGTCGAGGTAGCTGTTGACTCTGGTGCTTTTAGGGGTGTTGAGCCTGCGGGTGCCGGGTCTGGGGGTGATGCGCTTGGGGGTGCGGAGCCTGGGAGTGCTGAGTCTAGGGGTGCTGAGCCTGCGGGTGCCGGGTCTGGGGGTGCTGAGCCTGGGGGTGCTGAGCCTGGAGGTGCTGAGCCTGGGGGTGCTGAGCCTGGGGGTGCTGAGCCTGGGGGTGTTGAGCCTAGGGGTGCGGAGCCTGGAGGTGCGGAGCCTGGGGGTGCTACGTTTGCTTCGTCGAGGCGGGAGCTACTCTATCCGCAGGAGATGCGGGAGTGGTTTGCCCGCCGCTGGAGCCGTGCTGCTGGAGCTGGAGGTACTACTGTTGCTGCTGGTCCTGGAGGTGCTCGTACTGGCGGTACTGGAGCTGCTGGGACTGGGGGTGCTGCTGGGGCTGCTGGAGTTAGTCCTACTGGAGGTATTGCTGGAGCTGCTGGGGGTGCTGGAGCTGACGGTCCTGCTGGAGTTCGTGCTGCTGGAGCTGGTGGAGCTGCTGGTGCTGGAGCTGCTGGGGGTGTTGGCGCTGGTGGTTCTCCTGGCGCTGGTGCTTCTGAGGGTGCTGGAGTTGGCGCTGTTGGAGCTGGAGGTGCTGCTGGCGCTGGTACTGCCGCTTGGGGTACTGGTGTTGTCCCTTCTGGTTCTGGAGGCGCTGCGCGGCCGAGGCCGTACTTCGTTCCGCTCCTTGAGCAGGTTCTTGGTCCCCCGCCCTCTACTGGTCCTGCTCCTTCCTTAGAGTGTTCACAGCCTGTCCACTCGCGGTCACAGTTACAGCCCGCCTCCCCCCTACCTGCTCCTTCTCCCTACACTGGTCCTACTGGAGGTCTTGCTGAGCGTCGTGAGCCTGCGTCTCGTCCCACGTCGCCTGTTCGTGGTGCTCGCACTAGTGGTCGTGCTCCGCGTCTGCGTCCTCCTGCGGTCCCCAGCACACACCAGATGGCACTGTGTCCTTCCACTGCTCCTCTGCGTGTCCCGTTGCCGTCTCCTCTAGAGTCCTCTCTTCCTAGTCTTGCTGACCCGGAGTCTGACTCTCTTCGTGCTGCCAGTCCTCCTGTCACGCGTCTCCTGGCTACTGTTGTCACTGACCCTTCTTTTGAGTCCAGTGCTGCGTCTGCCTTAGTTGCTGAGCTTGTCGACTTTGCTGCTCGCTGTCGTCTAGACTATGCTGCTAGTCTTGTTGCTGAGTTTGAGTCTGTCTGTCTGTCCTCCGTCCGTCGGGGGTGAGTGTGCTCTTAGCACGGACGTCCTTGAGGACAGGTAGGAGGAGTTCCAGTGTTTTGCTGCTGCTTTGCCTCATCTCATGTCCACGCTGATTGCCCCTGAGGGAGACCCGGATGCACCAGACATCCCGACTCCTCGATCGTACGCTGAGGCGATCGAGGGTCCCTACTCCTCATAGTGGCAGTCAGCCATGGACGCAGAGATGGCTTCCTGGAAGTCCACAGGCACCTACGCTGACGAGGTTCCCCCACCTGGGGCGAACATCGTCAGTGGCATGTGGATTTTCAGGGTGAAACGGCCGCCGGGCTCTCCGCCTGTCTTCAAGGCGCGCTACGTGGCTCGAGGCTTCAGTCAACGGCAGGGAGTTGACTACTTTCAGACCTTCTCTCCCACCCCGAAGATGACCACTCTTCGGGTGCTGCTGCACATAGCCGCTCAGCGCGACTAGGAGCTTCACTCTCTTGACTTCAGCACAGCTTTTCTGCAGGGCAGCCTGCACGAGGAGATCTGGCTGCGCCGCCCACCTGGCTTCACTGGGTCGTTTCCTCCTGGTACCCAGTGGAGCCTCCGACGGCCAGTCTACGGTCTCCGCCAGGCGCCCCGTGAGTGGCACGACACACTGAGGACTACACTTGCGGCTCTTGGGTTTGCTCCGTCTACTGCCAACCCGTCGCTGTTTCTGCGCACCGACACCTCTTTGCCGCCGTTCTTCATCCTCGTGTACGTCGACGACTTGGTCTTTGCCACTGCTGACACTGCTGGACTCGCCCACGTGAAGTCCGAGCTGCAGAAGAGACACACGTGCACAGACCTGGGTGAACTGCGCAGCTACCTTGGCTTGCAGATCACCCGGGACAGAGCACAGCACACCATTACCCTGACTCAGTCACACATGGTGCAGCAGGTCCTTCAGCGCTTCGACTTCACGTACTCCTCGCCTCAGGCCACTCCTCTGCCTACTCGCCACTCGCTCTCAGCTCTGCCTTCGGATGAGTCCGTAGAGCCGAGTGGCTCGTACCCAGAGCTTGTTGGCTGCCTCATGTACCTGATGACCTGCACATGACCTGACCTAGCATACCCTCTTAGCATCTTGGCACGCTATGTTGCTCCTGGGAGACACAGACCAGAGCACATGGCAACAGCGAAGAGGGTGTTGCGCTACTTGTGCAGTACGTCGGGCATGGGGCTAGTGCTTGGAGGGCGACGTCGAGTGGTCCTCACAGGTCACGCAGACGCTTCTTGGGCTGACGACCAGGCTACGCAGCGGTCGGCATAGGGTTATACCTTCAGCCTTGGCTCCGGCTCTGTTTCGTGGCGGTCTACCCGCTCTTCTCCTGTTCTCGGCTCCAGCTGTGAGGGTGAGATCTACGCGGGGGCCATGGCTGCACAGGAGCTTCGCTGGCTCACCTACTTGCTGCTTGACCTAGGAGAGCCGCCTCGTTCTCCTCCAGTTCTGTACGTAGACAACAAGGCCATGCTGGCCTTGTGTCGGGAGCACAGACTGGAGCACAGAACAAAGCACATTGCTCTTCGCTACTTCCTTGCTCGTGAGCTGCAGCAGCGTGGTCAGCTGCGCCTTGCTTACGTGGCCTCTAAGGCCAACACTGCTGATATCTTTACCAAGGCACTTCCGCCTTGTGATCATCAGCGCTTCTGTACGATGCTTGTCAGAATTCCAACCACTAGACCATTGGGATAAAAGGGCTTGTTTCAGTAGCGGGTCAGTGCGCCCATAACCCCCCATGCAAACGCGCATGTAACCCCCCTAGGATCGATCGGGGATCTCATAGTGTAGCTCTACTGACACCCCCCCACACTGGGAGGCCCAGGACTAAGCATAGTGGCAACGGCCAACATGTGCATACACCGGGATTCGAACCCGAGACCGCTCTGATACCATGTCAGAATCCCAACCACTAGACTATTGGGATAAAAGGGCTTGTTTCAGTAGCGGGTCAGTGCGCCCATAACCCCCCATGCAAACGCGCATGTAACCCCCCCTAGGATCGATCGGGGATCTCACAGTGTAGCTCTACTGACAATGCTATGTCTTGTGCCTACTTGGCCTCACTTGCTCACTTCTTGACCTTGCTTGTACTGTGATCTTTCTATACCTGCACTTGCTTGTTTACCTTTATATATGATCTTGCATGTGAACTGGCCTTGTGGCCTTGCTCTTGTGCTCGGACTGTGTGGTGACGTTGTGATCCACCCTGAGCTTGCTTTGCCTTGCTTGACTGGTCTTGTGACCTCTTTTTCTCCCCCACTTTGCCTATTGGGGTGTGTCAAACTCATATGCTATAGTCTGTGTAGGCTGTAGTGGGGTAGACAATATGGGGTACAACACTTTTAGGTTTTCCTACTTGTACCCACCTGCTTGCTAGTTCATTCATTCCTCATTTCTTCACATATGTATGTATGTATGTATGTATGTATGTATGTATGTATGTATGTATGTATGTATGTTATGTATGTATGTATGTATGTATGTATGTATGTATGTAT